CTCCTGTTCCTGCAGCTGCTGCTGCTCCTGTCCCTGCAGGTGCTGGAGTGTTTTTCCTTTAGGAAACGGTGGATCAACACTTCACGTTCTTCAGTGCTTGGAAGAGCTGTATGGTGACAAGTGGACTTCTTTTCTTGTGCTGCTGATTCATTCTGGTAAATTCTGGCTTGCGTTTCACACTCAAGTTGTACTTTTTTCCCTCTACAAATAATATGATGACAGAGTCCAAGTTCTGAAACACATTTCCCTCTGAAAAGTAATTCCAACTGTATCTGATCTGGCCACTTTAATTTAGATTGATACTTAGGAGATTTTACTGTCACTTTAGCATTTCTTCTGGGCACTCAAGTTGTTTGATCAAACAGTGACGAAAGAATCATCATTCAGAGTCTCTGAATTTAGCTTCTGCCTTGAAATACCCATTTGAGTAGTGGGGGTGCCCATTTTTATTTTCAGTGAAAAGCAGGTGTCACTTCAGTTACAGACAAGTGGTTCTGAAGCAAAGTAAAGGAACCACAGTTTTAACATAAGCTATTTAAGGTGTGCTAAACTGGATGTGAGGTCAGATCTGCTTTGAGAGGTGTTTGAAGAAGAATGATTGGTGGTTTCTTTACATCTGTCATTTTTTGAGGACAGCTGAGCCTGTGACCTCGCTGGGGGTGGGGGAGTTGTTGTCTGTGTAAAATAGCTAGATTGGGTTAGGTTTTGCTTACTTACAGGTGGTGTCTCTGTATAATTAAAAGTGTCTTTTCCTCCCAGGGGGTCACAGTCAACGTTTACCCAATGCAAGTGCCCTGGGAAAGATCTTCACAGCTCTGCCCTTTGGTGATCCCATTTTCCAGATGCTGGAGCTGAAGCTGGCCATGTACATCGATTTCCCCAAGCACATGAAGCCCGGGATCCTCCTGACCTGTTCGGATGACATAGAGCTCTACAGCACTGGGGATGCAGAGACCATCTCCTTTGACAGGCCTGGGTTCACTGCCTTGGCCCACCCGTCGGATCTGGCAGTCGGCACCACTCACGGAGTGTTTGTTTTAGACCCGTCCAGTTTCTCAGGAAGGGGAGAGGTTGAGTACACGTCCTGCCATCGCTTCCTGCACAAGCCTGACGTGGAGACCATGCGCCAGCACGGGGCAGTGTGCTCGAGAGGGGCCTGTCCTCAGCTGGGCTCCTCTGCACGCCCAGCTGACCCGCAGGCGGGCTCCGAGTGCGTGTACACAGACAGCATCTTCTACATGGACCACAGCATTGCCAAACAGTTGCTGGCGTTTTATAAGGAGGTGGGCACTCTTTGCTGTGAAATAGATGCCTATGGTGACTTCCTGCAGGCCCTGGGCCCTGGAGCCACTGCAGGTGACACAGAAGGTGCAAGTGATGTGACAAAGGAGGGGTCGTGGTTGGCAGAGGTTCGGCAGAAGCTGCGCTCTCTGCTGAGAGGGACTGCCCTGAATGTCATTGTCCTGAACAACTCCAAGTTCTATCACCTTGGAACTACCCAGGAGTACTTGTTTCATCTTACAGCCGACAGCAAACTGAAATTTGAGCTCGGCTTGCTGCCTGTGGCTTTTAGCATCACTCCTGGCAAAGCTGAGACCCTGGATCCATCAGCCAGTGTCATCCAAAGCATCCTGGAGCCTGGGTGTTCTGTGGGACCTGGGTCTGTCATTGAGTGCTCCAGGATTGGGCCTGAAGTCTCCGTGGGGAAGAACAGCATCATCAGTGGATCGTACATAGACCTGAAAGTGGACATACCTTCTAACTGTTTCCTCAGTTCATTGAGCATAAAAATTAACGATCAATTAGAGTATGTAAGTATGGTGTTTAGTGTAGAAGATGACTTGAAAAAGACTGTGAAGTTGCTGTCAGAGGTACCTTCACTCCAGTTTTTTGGAGTCAGCTTACTAGACTGCTTGGACCTCTGGGGTGTAAAGGTCTCAGAGCAGCTCTTCTCCAGCAAGGACTCACGCTGGGGGCTGTGGACAGCCAGGATTTTCCCTGTTTGTTCTTCTTTAGGTGAATCGGTTAGAATGGCCTTACAAATGCTGAGCTCTGTGCAGCACATGTCAGCCTTTAACTTGAATGGCTTCAGGCTCTTGTCTGTGGAGGAAGTGCTCTCCTACAAAGATGTAGAAGACATGTTGAAGTTTAGGAGGCAAATTTATGACGAAATCTGTCTACAAAGACAAAAAGAGAAGTGTGATTTGTAGAAGGAGCAGTACCTGAACACATTTCCTGGTTTTATTTGTGATCATTAATTACTTCCCAGCTTGTAAAAATGGCAAGAAAAAAAAGTAGACAGATCCTTTCTCTGATTTAATTGAGGTAGAAATAATGAAATTCCATTAACTTAGTTGTTGTAGCATAACATTAATAATGTAGCAAATGCAGATGAACCATTCTTTTGATGAAAAAAGTAATGAAATATTTAAGATCTCTGACAACACTAATTGGAGACTTTTCTTGGGGTGCAGATTATGATGTTTTGTAGTCTTACTAAGACTGTAACACAGGAAAAGTTGTTAGAAATCTGACTGAAAACTGCTTTTAAAGTTTCTCGGAGTAGAACATCAACTCCAGCAACATGGAATGATACAGCAATGTCTTATATTTCTTTTCATGCTGCCTTTTTACAGTGGTGTTTCAAATAGGTTGAGATAAATTTAATAAAAGTACTTTTAAAATAAAAAGATCTTGTCTGTCTCAAGTATGAATAATTTTCTTTCTACTTTTTTTTTGTACTTTTTTATACGTTTTCTTGTTTTTCATCAGAGGAGAAAGATTTGCACGAGAGATAATTCTTTCCCTTGTGACTGATAATATTGGGGTCAAAATGTGGCATTCAGACAGTGAATTTTTTTCCTACTGTTAGTCATTTGGAAGCTGGTAGTTTGATTGGGCAGCTGCCAACTTCTTGTTATCCATAGATTACTGATTTGTGCCACATGAAAACTTAGATTTCATTGAATCCCAGACTGGTTTGGGTTGGAAGTGACCTTAAAGGTCACCTAGATGCAACCCCCTGCACGGGCAGGGACACCTCCCACCAGCCCAGGCTGCTCCAAGCCCCATCCAACCTGCCCTTCAACACTGCCAGGAATGGGGCAGCCACAGCTTCCCTGGGCAACCTGGGCCAGGCTCTCACCACCCTCGTGCTAGAGAACTTCGTCCTAATATCTAATTAATAATTTCATATTTCTCTAAACTGAACTGGCAGAGTCCTTGGAGTGCTGCTTAATGCTCATGCAGACCAGTGGAGTAAGCAACAACAGAGATGAACTGTTTTGGTGCACAGCTTCAGAGAAACACACAACGTCTGTTCTCTCTTCCCTTCTCCACCCTTCACTAATGAAGTGTCCCTTTTGTTTCCAGTTCAGGTGCCAAAGCTCCAAGCAGATACTTGGCTTTTTATACTTCCTGTTCTGGCCTGATCAAAAAGCCTTTCTCATGTGTACAACTTCAGGTGTACTTTCCTCTGTGTCCTCTGTCCCCTGTTTTAACACCATGGGAGGTGCCCTGCCAGCTCATGGCAGTGCTGCCCCTCTCCTGCTGGCCCCCCAGCTGCTGTGCAGGGAGGGCTGGGGACCCCACCCCTCCTGCCACCCCTGTGCTGCCCCCAGCCCCACACGCCCCCTGTGCTGCAGCACTGCCACGTTCTGATGCCTCAAGTCATTTGTTTTCCTTCTATAACGACTGCATTTTTATCTTTTCTACTTCATGCTGTCCTTAAGAATGTGCTGTGTGTTCCATCAATGTAACTGGACTGCAAACACATCTTCTCCTGCATTTACCTATGGGTGTTCATGTGTTGTTTAATGTTGCACCACAGCAGTGTTTATCCTAGGTTTCCCTAATGGCATATTTTTTATACCACCTACAAGACAGTAGTGTGGTATCTCATGAATCTCACCCGGGCTGGTTTAACCTTCAACAAGTTTCTTCCTCACTGATAAAGAAATATTTCCAGAGACTGTTCTTCCTGAGGATCATTTCTGAGTAAGAAGGAATACAAAGGAGCTGGACATGGAGGCTGGGAAATGCTGAGGTTGACTTCAAAGAGGTAAGTAGAATTTCTGAGCCAATAAAGGTTTTTAAAGTCATGATAAATTAATAGTTTAACAATGGAAACAGCAATAAATTTGAGAACATTAAGGTCAGGGATGTGTAAAGTTGCAAAGTAAAAATATTCATAGAACATGGAGCATGAAATTGTGGTTTGTGCACCATCCAGTTTGCATAATGTGTTCATTTACTGGCAGCATATGCAAAATGTTTGGGGAAAAACAACTGTTTGACATAGACTTTGCATCTTCCATTGGAGATCAAACTTCTGTTCTGCAAAGACTTCCCTGATGATTGTTTTAGTGCTGGACAAGCTTTCTGGACTTCAGAAACAGCAAGTGAAGTTGAGAAGAAGCAAGTGAAGTTGCAAGAGCAAGTGAAGTTGCATTCTTTGACGTGATGATTCACTTTAAGGGTTACAGTTGCATTTGTTCTACATTCCCTAAGTGCCAAGTATTGATTTAGTTACTGAAACCACCTGGGTATAAACAGGAAATGGATTGGCTTTTGAGATGTCAGTAATGGGGAAAAAGGAGGAGGAGGAGCACCCTGAGTGCAGGGTGTTTGGAGGCTGCTGGGGCAGCCCAGGAGGTGCTGTGCTGGGGCAGCAGTTCTGGCCCAGCTCAGCCCGGGTGGGGGGGCTGGAGGTCCCGACCCCCTGCAGCTGCAGGTCTCTGGGAAGTGCTCCCAGGACTGTCCTCAGCACAGCACACTTTCCTTCCACACTGAATATTTTTGTCTCAAACTTTAGAAAGTGGGTTTTGGTTGATATTAGACACAGGTAATGTCAGCAAGCTTAATGAGCTTACACCACAGGCATTGAAATTATCTGGATTTGCAATATTTTATGTTTAAAGTACGATCAAGTTTAATGCAGTATTGTATGAAAAACATTAACAATTGCATTTCATTTAATACACACCTCTCTTAATTGTTTTCCCATATGTTTTTATGGCATATAGGGTTATGTTTGTTCATGTTCACACATTCTGTAAATTCTGTTTTGGACTCCACACTTAGAAAGAAACACTTTTAGATGTTTATGTGCTTTCACTAATTTCCATTGAGCCACAGGAAGCACATGTTTGTCCAT